ATATATATATATATATATATATATAAGAAGGACAAATGTTAAAAGACCTAGTAAGTAAACAAGCTATCAGGTTACTTTTGTACTTTTGTCGAGGTGTGTAGTGGCAAATGAAGGTTTTCTTGCGGTGAGTAGAAGTAGAAAAACCGTTGGGTTCTCGGTTTACAAGGACGTCGGTTGTTAGGTTACGGACCGCACAGACTCTTTATTTATTAAACAAAATCTCCTCAAATGACTTGTAAAGTTTTAACTAAGGGCCGTACAGACGGAACTCTCAATAAAGAAACTATTTTATTAAATAAAATGTCTGCTCGAATGATAACTCAAATTCTGTTAAGCCTATTTTAATTCATTATTTCTCATCAGCTATATATGATAGATACTTTCACTAATTCATTTGATGTAGGTCTGTATTATTTCCAAGTTTGACACTACTTCTCTTTGCTATAATACATAAGATTTGATTTAACTTTCAAGTGATTAATTGAAATTATAGTATCTATATTTACTGTAGTAATTTGAGGTATTAGTCTATGAACGTACTTGGTTTGAAAGCTTACTTTCAAACTGAACTGATTTCTTACCTGGTTGTCGTTTTCTTCACATTAAAGTAAACCATTAACTGATAGAGACAGTTTGTCACTTCATTGAGTAGTTAAGAAAAACCAAACTTTTCATTCGTAATGAGTTGTTATAACTGTTACTGCTGTTTGAAATAACTTCGAAAGAAAACATTTATTGAACAGACGATTGTATATTTGTAGGGAAACAATAATAATGTTTGGATAAATATTTTTCAAAGGCATGCCCAGTAGGTCCTGAGGCTAATATTCTCGAACCAAGTCCGGAACAATGTAGGCGTCTGTATCTGGAGCAACCAATCCTCTCTCTTAAAGACATCGAAGTCATCAAAGAGACAAAATACAAAGGATGGAAGGTAGGAGCCGTGCTGAATAACATACTTTGATAAACTCTTTTTAATTTAAGACTTCCAAATTCTGGATTTTACGTTGTTTTTACTTTCTCGACTTTCTGGGAATAGGCTCAAGTGTGGGTTGTATCTTTTGGAATTCCAGTTAAGAAAGAGATAAGGTGTGTGGGTTGTCTCTGTTTGGATCCAAGTTTGGAATAGGCTAAGGTGTGGGTTATATCTTTTCAAATAAAGAATATTACAGAATTGGGTGTTATGCACCTCAACACATAAATAAAACTAAAACGTCTCTATACAAAGATACTGCAGCTAATGCACTAATCAAATTAGTAGGTTTGGTCAAATGTATATTTGTTTAGAACATTATTAGTAGCAATGTAAATATATTGGATTTAGCATATAATTTAGAAAGTGACCAGTAACAACGTGATACGATACTAATATATTTGTTTAGAAAGTGATCAGTAACAATATAATTCCAGACAAAAGTTATCAACATTGTGTACCCCGTATCAGAAGGTGGGGCAGGACTCCTACCGGCGATCAACCGAATTTGTTATGAAGCCTGTTCTGCAGCTCAGGAAGGGTATACAGTGGTTGTCCTTTCTGACATGATGGTTTCAAGGGATCATATTCCAGTCAGGTATGCTACTGCAGCGCCCTCTTAGTTAAATCTAATGACAGATTCATCGAACTCATCTTGTTTGAAATGATGATTTTAGACAAAAATGCTGCACTGAGAAATGTGATTGCAGTGACCCTTGGCTACAGGTAAAGATAAGTATAATGTGTACCTCCTCTCTAGGCCAAGGCTTCAAGGTCATTGGACATATTTTAAGCAGGAATGTGACTACTGACCCTTGGCTACAGGTAAGGATTGGTACCTCCTCTCTTGACCAAGGCTTCAAGTGATTTCAGCATGGGTCTAGCATGATTCTTTTCAGCTGCGTACTATTACGATATCATTTTTGAGTTAACAAAGGGCAGTTTAAATACTACATTATTAACTACTTACTCTTACAGCTGTTCGATTTGCTGCAGTTCTGTACTTGTACCTTTTCTTTATCACACGACAGAAAGAATTGTGGTACTTGTGATAAAAATTTGATTGAATGTATATATATTTTTAGTGCCCTGCTGGCAGTTGGAGCTGTACATCATTACCTGATAAACGAACGTCAGAGGATGAAAGTAGTGTTGGTTCTTGAGACGGGCGAGGCTCGGTATGTTATCTCTATTGCATAATGGTTTGTTAGTTTTAATTTTAAATTTCTAGGGATAAGCTGGTATTTCACCAAACCTATGTAAGTCCATCACATTTGTCTGTTATCTTTATCTCCTCATATGTAGGAGTTCCACGATATCTGTGTTGATGAACACACTGTTTGATCTCAATACATTAAATAGGCTTATTTTACATGTTTATTGATGTAAATACAATCATTTCCCCTTTATATCTATGGAGATACATCACATATGTGTGTTGCTAGGTTTATGGTTTTTCTTGTTACTAGGGAGTTAATCACATATGTAAGTTGCTAGGTGTATAGTTTTCTTGTTACTAGAGGGTTACATAACATATATGTGTATTGTTGGGTGTATAGTTTTATTTCTTGTTACAAGAGGGTTACATAACATATATGTGTATTGTTGGGTGTATAGTTTTATTTCTTGTTACAAGAGGGTTACATAACATATATGTGTATTGTTGGCTGTATAGTTTTATTTCTTGTTACTAGAGGGTTTCATAACATGTGCATGTATAGTTTTATTTCTTGTTACTAGTGGGTTTCATGACATGCTCGTGTATTGTTGGCTGTATAGTTCTATTTCTTATCGCTAGGGAGGTTCATCACATGTGTGTGTTGCTGGGATACGGAGCTGACGCCATCTGTCCCTACCTTGTGTTTGAGATTATGAAGGAGCTTCGCGAAGAGGGACTACTGGACCCTCCTCTCTCTGATGATGAGATATTCAATAATTATACTGAAGCAATTGGGAGAGGCATTTCTAAGGTATTCATGCGTGTATTATATTGGAGACAGAGTAGCAGTCAACAGTTAACTTGTAGGTTAAGGGATAATAACTTTAACCCACATAAACTCCTCTGTAAAGGAACTGCTTTTCAGTCTATGTGGGATTCGGCAGATATTTACCTATATTTGTTTTTACCTTGTGATGTACAGTTCGTATCTCGATTCCAAACTGACATGACTATAAGCAAATTGAATCTATATGATATTGGAGTTGATATAAATGTAATATCTCTTAATGCATAACTTTTTCCATTAATTCATTGCAGAAACGGTGTCTAAAACGTTTCTAAATGTAAAATTGGTGTGATATCTAAAGATCTAGACAATAAAACTTGTACAAGTGACATAAGTGCTTTGATGGCCAAGGATCGAGAAAATGGCACTTGTAAAGGTACCATGGCTGCAGTGATATCTAAAAACCTAGAAAATGGCACTTGTAAAGGTACCATGGCTGCACTGATATCTAAAGACCTAGAAAATGGCACTTGTAAAGGTACCATGGCTGCACTGATATCTAAAGACCTAGAAAATGACACATGTAAAGGTACCACAGGTGCTTTGATAGCTATATATCTAGAAAATGGCTCTTTTGAAAGTATCAAGAGCACTTTGGTATTTAAAAATATAGAAAATGACCCTTTTAGAGGTATCATGAGTGCTTTGATATCTAAGGATCTACAAAATGGTACTTGTAAAGGTACCATGGGTGCGTTGATATTTAGAAACACAAACGAAGGTCAGGGTACTTTAATATTTTGATACTTAAAAATGAAAGTGTAAGGCACTTGCACAGATACCACAGGTACTTTAACTATCTCAACTGCAATTATTTGCTTATCACAGGTAATGGCCAAAATGGGGATTTCCACATTGCAGAGCTACAAGGGGGCCCAGATATTCGAAGCTGTTGGTCTAAGTGAAGAAATCATCGACAAGTGTTTTAAGGTAGAAACGTACACAAGAAATCCTTGTTGTATATTTTATAAGATTGTAAAGCTGTTGGTCTAAGTGAAGAAATCATTGACAAGTGTTTTGAGGTAGAAACGTACACAAGAAATCATTGTTGTATATTTTATAAGACGATAAAACTCTGAACATTACATATATATCATCAGTTTTCACGGTATGAATCAGATTAAGCAAGTATATTGTAACTTATGTTAACAAGATGTTAAAATATTCTTATATTACAGCTATGATATTTATAATATAATAAACACGATACCTCAGTGTATTGAAATCTAGCAAAGAAATATAATACTTAAGACAAAAATAATGACTAAAATTATGTTTGAATGGTGAAGGTCCTTCTTTGAAAGATATATCTAGCATTACATAAACCATTTTTATTTCAATACAAAAAAAAATATTATATTCTACAGGATGGTGGATTATATTGAAATAAGTCCTTTTTTATTTTAAAATCATATGTTAATAAAATCAGCCATTAATAAAAGTGACCACATCTTTTAAACCACGATTATTTATCAATACAAGACATGTATTAAATATATTTGTTTGGAAATAATGAATAATTGTTCAAAACGTGTGGGCAAGCATGGCCAGGTGGTTAGTGTGCTGGACTCGCAATCTGAGGGTCGCGGGTTTGATTCCCCCATCCCACCAAACATGCTCGCCCTTTCAGCCATGGGAGCGTTATAATGTGACGGTCAATCTCACAAGAGTTGGCGATGGGTCTATCACTGCTAAATCAGGGACGGCTAGCGCATATAGTCCTCGTGTAGCTTTGCGAGAAATTAAAAAACATACAAAGCAAAAGATGTGGCCACTTTTATTAATTAGATGCCACAAGGTATATATGAGTAAACCGATTAGCCTTCAGTCATTATTAAACTTCAGATTTACAGCTGATATGTTTGCAGAATTTAAAGAATAACAAAATTCACTATATAGCGCCACCTATGCAATCTTTGAGCTCTGATTTCTCTGTCTAGAATACAGCTTCCCGCCTCGGTGGTGTAACTTTTGAAATGTTGGCTGAAGAAGTTTTAGAAAGGTATCGGATAGCATTTCATGAGAGAGACTGTGACAACCTGATTCTTAGAAACCCAGGTTACTACCACTGGCGCAGTGGAGGAGAAAAACACCTGAACAACCCACTTAGCGTTGCCAATCTCCAGGTAAGAAAATGTGCCTTTAAAACCCGATTTATAGAAACCCAGGTCACTACCACTGGCGTAGTGGAGGAGAAAAACACCTGAACAACCCACCTAACGGTGCCAATCTCCAGGTAAGAACATGTGCCTTTAAAACCTGGTTCTTAGAAATCAGGGTCATCATCGTTGAATTGGAGATCGTTCTTTATGTCGAGTTGAATACGTAAAACGTTAGACTATTTTCATCGTACATAGAACATGTTTACGTTTGTGCTTTCTTTATGTAACTAAAACACACGTGGTTAAAGCTTGTGTGGATTTTGAATTCCTGTCTTAAGAATGGAAGTTAATAACTCAGAGCTTTGAGTGACCGTTTTTCGTAAAAACACTAGATTTTAGTGATTTATAGACTTGTATCCGATAACAGGATGCTGCTCAAAATAACAGCCATGACGCTTATAAGAAATTTGTCGAATCAACCATGGAAAGTGTGAGATCCTGCACTCTACGTGGACAGCTGACTTTAGTCTACACTGACCATCCGATTGATATATCGGAAGTTGAGGAAGCCAAGGAAATTGTGAAGAGGTTTGTAACAGGTGAGGAAGAAACGGCTGACGAGATCATTATCATTGTTTTATCTCTTCAAGTGTTTTAATCGTTTGTAGTTGGTTTCAGCGCAAAGCTGCATAACTGGCTGCTCGTGTTATGCCCTAAAAGTAGCGATATAAGCCCTCAAGCTTGCCGCCGAGCTGCCTGGGGTAATATTTAAGTGTCTATAGATAACGTGCGACGTGTTCTTAAAGATCAATAGCAAATGTTTTTGTAATGAATAAGGGGTAATGTGTAATATATATATTATTGATGAATGTGTGAATCTAGTAGGCCTTATAGCAAAAATATAATAGTTTACTGAAAAGAATAGTCTCTCAATACTTTACACCAGCGTTTCCCAAAGTGCGGGCTTTCCATATTCCATCTTGTGTAGATGGAAGATGGTTTTCCAGTGCCTTCTTCAATAGTCCTTTGGCACAGAAATCCATAGGAGCTGTGTGAGGTTAAATGACTGATATACTTTCGTATGGAATAGCATGAATAGCAGTTTCCTTCTCCAGCTGCTTGATATAAGCAACGATTGAACAGTTGGTATGACTGGACGACTCCTCTTGGTGAACCAATACCCTGTTGAGATTCTTTTTAGTTATGTCTAGTACTGTTGCCTTGAGTACGTGGCGGGCTCTTTTCATTGATCATTTTGTTATGAATTCTCACCTGTTACAAGAAGCCACACTTTATTTATAACGGCTGTGGTACGACTCGTTGCAGGTTCCTTTCTGAATAGGCCTGGTGCCCCAAATTGATCCATATTCTTTTGTTTTCCAATGCCATTAAGTAAAAGTAATATCCCTGTTTTAAATCCTCGATTTGAACATCGATTTATGAATATTTTGCGTCGGAAAAGGCTCTTACACACCTTTCCCAAAAGCATTCAATTTTGAGTGACATCGTACTATCTACGAAATGCCAATGTCAAAATGGAGCTATGATACGTATCTTTAACCGTGTCTTTGTATATCGCTGTAAATCGTTTTAACAGAACGTAATTAACCCTATGTATACTTACATTGTGTGAAATAGGTGTCACCTTTAATAAAGAATGATGTTTTGTGGGTCGTAATGTTCACTGATTGCTACAGGTCATGTTTACATGCGTATACATTTTCAGTTTTACAAATTATAATAACGATGAGCTGTAAACCGATTTAACAAAATCTGTTGAGAAATTCGAACATTAGTTACACACACCACGTGAGTTTGTGAATTAGATGGGCCCTTCTGTGATTAGTCACTTTGTTGTAATGGATCACTACAGAATCTAACATAAATTTTACTTCCTAAAGGTGCCATGAGTTTTGGCAGTATCTCCATTGAAGCTCACAAAACACTGGCGAAGGCCATGAACAAAGTAGGTGCAAAGTCCAACACTGGTGAAGGAGGAGAAGGTGCAGACCGATGGGTGGATAATGATCTTAACAACAACACCCGCTCTGCCATTAAACAGGTGTGAATTATGTACTATTAGGCTTAATATGTGTTAAGCCTTATTTTTAAACATTTAATTTCACTATCGTTCTCGTAAGTTATCGCTTAACCGAAATATTTGTTTTTTTCTGGTATATATATTGAAAATATTTCATAAAAAATGATTAAGATGAGAAAAAGTTTTTAATTTACTTAAATAAAATTGAGTTCATGGTTAATTGAATAAATCAATCTAAAGTAGAGTTCTAACCGACATTGTTATTAAATGTATATCAAGACAAGCGTTCATATCTCTCTTGGTATCCATGGTAACTAAAAGTTTGGAAAGATTATAAAATGCTGTAAAATAACCTGAAACAACATGTGAGTTTGCGAATTATGATGGCTGTTGAAAGTCTGGTAAAAGTAATAAACATTATTTAATATATTTGTTAGGCATACGTAAGATTACAGAAGTGTGAAACCTGCCTACTGTCGAAAAGGGTTTCACATTCAACGAAACCGTTCGAGTATCATCCTAAGTGTTATACAAGTATCCTTCTTTAACAGGTAGCATCTGGAAGATTTGGTGTAACCAGCAGCTATCTAGCTAACGCTGACGAGATCCAGATAAAGATGGCACAAGGAGCTAAGCCTGGTGAAGGTGGAGAGCTTCCAGGATATAAGGTTGTATAAACTTCATATTTATTACTGTCCGACATAATATTATGATGCAGCCTGAAATTATTCTGTATAACAGTATAACACCGTTCATAGTATAAAACTGTGGATCTTCTGTTTATAGTCTAGTACTGTGCAGTTATTATGTTCCTATTGTAACACTGTGTAGTTCTTACGTTCATAGTATAAGTCATTGTTATATTAAATATAACAAAATATTTATTTATTGTATTCAAATTCTGATTGGTAACACCAAGTAAGAAACCCATTATCATTGGTTGATTTTCATGTTACGTAGGTGACTAAAGACATTGCCAAAACAAGACATTCCATTGCTGGTGTAGGGCTTATCAGCCCACCTCCCCATCATGATATCTACTCTATTGAAGACTTGGCTGAGGTAGAAAAGTTGTAACTTCAGATAAATGTTCAGTTTCTTAATAAGTGTTTTGAGACTGGTAGACATTCTTGTATCTAAGCTCTTAACCCTTTATTGTTACATTGTATCGTACAGGCAACAGTAATATATCTTTGTTGTTTAATACACATAGATACTTCAATTCTGTAGTTGATTACTCTTATTTGCAGGCAACAGTCGAAATAAGCCATGGAATTATTATTGTTGGTTCCTCAGTTGAACATTGTTACTTTTAGATAATGTACTCATTTATAACTTATCAAAAAATGTGTCACAAAAACATTTTTTGTAGAATATATAATATTTTAAGCAAGAAATTCAAAGAAAACATTTTCCCACTGTATTTTTTATAATGTGTATTAGAAAGTTAATGAGTCTTAATAGAAATGTTGTGTTAATATGTACAATTGTGAATCATGAGATACAATTCACGGGTCTTTCAATTGTTAATATGATTTTACAGAGGGTATTAAATGGCAGCTCTGGTGTCTAATCTGTCCTACTTCAAACGATGACTAATATGACTATCAATTTACCATTAAATTATTATTATTATTATAAGAAGTGACTTTCAAAGACTCTTTAAATAATATTTTGATTAAAAATTATACTTTCTTTGGGATATTCATGATATGAAGTATTATAGACGATTCAGTACGTTATATTAAAACGATTTTGAAAGCAAAAAGTCAAGTGATAATTACACCTGATATAAAGTCGTTGAGGAACGGCATGTATCAGAACTACATTTTGACGTTGTTTGGTGTTTTGTAGGTAGTGTTGTGTATCCGAATATTCATCGCTTTTGGGAAGGTTTCTACTTACACACTTTGATAGCTTTATCCCGTGTTACATGCTTACTTAAACAGAGCTTACAACCTGTGCTCCACATTTCTTAATCTACACTCTGAAATTTCTTTCTTACA